ATATACCTTTGCTTATTTTATTGTTTCCCTTTATTTTATTATTTTTCTTTCTTTTGTCATTTGTTTTGTTTTGGTTGGGGTTTTGTTGTTGCTGTTGTTGCTATTTTTTCTTTATTATTTTTTCCTTTGATTCAAGGCCTGTCCTCCATGAACACTCAAGACAGAGGTTTGCCATCTCCCTTGTCTTCAACAAGCCAGAGATCATTGCCGTTTCAGTGGCAGCCCACTTGGAAGTGGGGTGACACCGTTCAGGGCCACATGGAGCTGCTGGGTACATATTTAGGTGGGATAAATACACGTGTGTGCACCTGGGCATGTGTGTGCGCGTGTGTTTGGATGCATGGCCATGCACGAATTGCAGATCCAGGCACGCCATGTCAGTGAAAGCATACAGCATGCTCACACACACATCTGGTGTCACAGGCCAAACTGGGCTCCTTGGGAATCTCCCAGCAGGTGGAACAAGGGCAAACTGAGCTTTTGGAGTCCTGTGAACCAGAGAGGTGCCATCCGTGAGAGGACGGGCAGAGCTGTGCTTGCTGCTCTGCAGCTGCACCCATGTCTGGTGCCACCGGGTGCAGATGGGTAGGGGATGGGTGCCCAGCCTGCAGGGCATGTGGCACATCCATGTAGCTGCTTGGAGCACTGTGGTCATTAGCCACGGGGCTCCAAAAGATTGATCCCATAGGGAATTCACTGCCTTAACCTGCAGAACCTGCTGGGGTCTTGTCTGCAGCTCAGGGAGCAGCTCTGAGCCTTCTCCTGGGGAAGGATGCCCCAAGGAGGCTCCAGAGATGCTTCAGATCCCTTCGTGACCCTTCTACAGCCCACAGGGACACTGAGTCCCCCCACCATCCCTGAAAAACTCATCCCTGTTTCTCCCCCCCTCCCTCCAGAAGTCTTGGAGCACAGAGGGGAGCAGGGCTGTCACCCAGGGGACACACAGCAGCCAGGATGCTGACAACTCAGCAATTATATGTATCTGCCTGTCCCACATTGCACACATCTCCCTGGGGATCCTGGCTCCAGGGGATACTAGCTGGGCTCCGTGCCCAGCCCTGGACAGGGATGCATCAGGAATATCTCTGGGCTGACAACCCAGAAGCATTTCTGCTCCGATGTTAATAAAGAGATTGAGAGCTCTGTTATTTTTAAATAAATGCAAATTAACATCTACTTAATGGAGAAAGACAAACCCAGATCCTCATCTGAGCCAGTGCTGTGACAGTGATGGATAAACAGCCATCAGCCAGAGCATCCTTGTTCAGGTGCCAGACCCACATGCTCTGGGATGCAATGGCACCACTGGCCTCTGCTGGGAAGAAGGCTGTCAGCTGGCTGTGCTCACTGGGAAAGTCCCCCTGACAGGGAAAATCCCAGTCTGGCTCTCATCTCTGCCACCCATCACTGTCTTGCTTTAGTCACGTCTCCTTGAGCAGCTGGCCATGCAAAGCCAAGGGCAAACATCCCTTCCTAAACACCTTCTCCATTCTCCCAAGACACCAAGATCCCAACACCTATCACTTGCAATGTGGCATTGAGTCCCTTCCAGCACCCCACTGGAGTAGGGAGAGGCAGATCCCCCCTCCCATGGGACCCTCCTAGGCACAACCCACCTCTGCAGCCTTCCCTTCCCCCATACCAGCCCAACATTTACCTAGCTATTTAAATTCCCTTCATTTTTCTTACTAAGCCTAGTGGCGAGAGGGTGACTGCCAGGGAAGAAGTTAGGAGTGGACAGAGCAGGGGGAGAGGGGAGAGCACTGTGAAGGATAAAAAGCTTCAAGCAAGCTGGGCCTTTCCTCTGCCCTTTCACTTTCTGCTTTTAAAACCATTGGCTCTTCTCTCCCTTCCATGCAGGCACCTTTTCCACCACTGGGCCAGGCTGAAAGTGGAATGGAGCAGGGGGAGGGGGGTTCCTGTGTCAGTTTGGGGGGTGGTAGATTTCCTCAAATCCTTCCCCAGCCTGATCCCATTTTCTGGATGGGTAAACTGATAGCTGAGGGGTGAAGCGAACCCCTTGGAAGCATCCTGAGTGTGTTGGCAGCCACATGCTCTGATAAAAAAGCATAGATGGAGAAAAGGCAGGAGGCAAGGAAAAGGGAAAAGTGACGGGAAAAAGGCTGGAAAAAGCCAGTGACAGTTTAATGGGGCTGTTGATGAAATAATGACTAGTTTAAAGTCTGCTGGAGTGTGGCTGCTCTCTAATAATCCAGGACCTGATAATCTGCTGAGTTCATTACTGAGGGGGGAGGGGGAGTGCCGGGGTAGGAGCCATGCAGTGGGACACAGAGCTGCTGTGGGTGTGGGATGCAGAGAACCCCTGCAGACAACCTCTGCTGGTGCCATGGGGTGATTCTGGCATTATGCCGGGCTCTCCAGCCACCACCTGGCTCCTCCTCGGGGTACCCAAGATGAGGACAGTGAATGTGGGGTGTCCCCACCACGAGACACAATACCCAGGAAAGGCAGCACTCAGGGCAGGCAGCACCTCAGGAATGGCAGCATCGTCCTTGGTGGCACCATGACCATGACTCGAGTCTGGCATTCAGCTAATCTGCATGTCTGGTGCACAAGGTCACTGATGCTACCACCGCCACCAGACCATGGGCAAGGACAGGGACAGTGCCAAGGGCTCCGGCACTCCGGGAAGAGGCTGTGGGTCTCAGCCGGGCCCCAGCTGAGTCCCAGCCTGTGCTTATGGAGAAGCCAGAAGACACCCTCACATGCCCAACCCCCACCAGTGTCAGTTTATTAAGTTGTTTGTAAATGTCTCTGCAATTAATCACTTGCCGATGTGCGGAGTCACATGGCGCTCGCCTCCGCAGTACTATGAATAGTGAGAGCTGGAGAGAGGCCTGATCCACCCTGCTCTGGAGTGATGGGCTCCTGGATGGATCCATCTCTGCACAGGGCAATGCTGCACCAGCTCGGTGCAGAGTGTCCTGGCCCTTCCTGTCTTCACTGGGCTCGAGGACACCAGGGCAGGAGGTCCCCAGTTATCACCACTGCATCCTGGCCGCCCTCAGATGGGCTGTCAGGAGCTCACTGCCCATCTCTTCCCCCAGAAAACAGTAGGAAGGTGAGGGGAACCCCAAACCTCATGATTATGGGACTCAGGGGTTCCTGGCACCACAATTACATCCCTCCTGCCCACTCCCAGTTTTCCTCAAGCGGGCCACCAGCAGATCCCTATTGATCCCTACCCCAAAAAATGTGGTTAGAGATGAAGGGAACCCCAAATCTCATGTTCATGGGATCCAGAAGGGCCTCTAGCATCCTCCTGCTGCCCCCACACTCTGCCCCTGGTCTGGTGAGGGGTGCAGGGAGGACAGACCCAGCCTTGGCTGGAAGCTTGGCTGGTTGGCAGCCACAAAGAGTTTGTTCAGCTCCTGGAGCAGGGCAAGATGAAGAGGTTGGATGTCCTGGTGGTGAAAGACTGGGAAGGAGGGTAAGGAACACTTGCATGGCCAGAGAGACAGGTAGGCTGCTGAAGGAGGGAGTGGATTGAGGGAATGGTGGTAGGGAGAAAGGGATGGATGGAGGGATGGACTGACGGATGGATGAGTGAGTGAGTGGATGGATGGATGGATGGATGGATGGATGGATGGATGGATGGATGGATGGATGGATATCTAACAATCTTGAGCACTAATGGTATTTCTTGGCACATCCCTGGGGTTTGGTGCCAGGCATCCACTCCTGGCCCACAGAGTCCTGGGCACTACAAGGCCCATGGAGCAACCTGGCACAGCAGAATGGGAGGGATGTCATGAAAGCAGGGGTGGTGAAGGCTCTCCTGCTCTTCCCAACACCTGGCTCCTCATCCTGCCACAACAGTGAGGGGCCTGAGCCACACACTGGTATAATCGAGGTGGGGACTCAGGTGTCCCCCCTCCGTCCCCCTCGTAGTGGCTCCTCCACCCCTTCCAGTGCTGCAGGTGACACTGCCAGCACCGCTGCCACCACCCTGCCCCCTGGCAGCCCGCAGGTGATTGACAGCCCTCCTGCTCCCACGCATGACTCACCGACAGCCCCTGTGGTGGCTCAGCGTGAGGAGGGGGCGGGGGGACACCCCCACCCCGGGCTGCCACAGACAGCTCAGCAGGGAGCCATGCTCCCAGCCCTGCGTTACACCCAGCCCCCTGCATCCCTCCATCCCCGGGGACCAGCATCAGCCCTGCATCCCCACAGCTGTGTGTATCCCCACATCCCTGGAAGCCAGGGAGAGCAGAGCCCCAGCTACCTTCTGCCACTCAGGCTGAGCTCCAGGCTCAGCCATGGGCTATGGGGAGGAGTTCCTATGGCCGCCAGGATCCAAAGAGACAGCTCCCAACCTCTGGCTTTGAAATGCCCATTGTGCCTCACACTGCAAGGGCCCAGGCCCTGAAATACACCTGCACACGTGTTTCTTGGTAGGTCCCCCCACTCCTGGTGATCTACAATGGCAGTCCAGCACAGACACCAATTCTGGCACTGGCACGGCATTCTGGCTACACTGGTGAGCTCAGCAATCACAGCAGAGGGTTGTTGGACTGGGGTGCCACTGCTCTGTCCCCAAAAGGGCAGCTCCCTGCCTTCTCCATGGCACCCATTCTCTGGCAACCACCCAGCAGGTGCATCCAGGACTGTCCCTCTGCACTTCCAGCTCTTGGTGTCCCCTGCCCTGTGTGTCTGGCAGAGATCTGAACACTCCCACTTCATTTCTTAAGACCTTTAATATCGTCAAGAAGAGGCAGTGGGACGCAGGGGCTGCTCCTGCCATCTCCATCCTGATGGATGGAGGACAGAGACCAGGGGCACCCCCTTCCCAGTGCTGGGTGAATACTGAGGCTCCTTTCATCCTGCCCCACCCAGCACAGAGGGCACCCTTCCCCAGGAGTGATGGGAGTATGATGATGGCAGTGCTGGGGCCAGGCACGCATCCCATGAGAAGGGCTAGTGCAGCATCCCACAGGAAGGGCAGCTCCCACCTGCCTTATCATTTTAGAGGAATGGCAGTGCTGGGGCCAGGCACACATCCCATGAGAAGAAGGGCTAGTGCAGCATCCCACAGGAAGGGCAGCTCCCACCTGCCTTATCATTTTAGAGGACAAAGACTTAAAAATAGGGGATGGAACAGGAAACGTAAAAGCCCTCGACTGCAGCTCCCAGCCAGGCTCTGCTTCTCCTCCCAGAGCTGGGAAAAGAAGCGGTGGCCAAAGGCAGCTGAGGCACAGAGTCAGGGGGCTGACATCCTGTGGACTGTCTGGGAGTGGCTCCCAAGCCCAGCTCTGCTGGGGTTAGGGGGTGGCCTCGCTGCCATCTCCCCTCCTGGCTGCCTGTGGTCCCCACAGTGGAAGATGAGAAGGCCCAGTGGAGGCTCTGGAGGCAACAGGACCCTGGCAGGTGCCGGAGCAGGGGGCTGGCACAAGACCCCGAGGGCTGCCCCACTTGGAGATGAACCTGTGGCACAAGTGGAGGGCAAAGTGTCAGCAAAGAGAACAGAGCAGGCACTTCCAACCCCTTTTCACCTTTGGGGACACGTGCCATCTCCCCAAGCCAGGATGGCAACAGGACAGATGGAGCCATTGGCTCCCACTGTCATCAGATCAGGACAGGGCATGCAGGAGGGGGAAACTCACTGGCATGTCAGTTTTCCAGCTCAGACGTTCCGCAGAAGCTGGGGACAAAGGGCAGACAGATCACTTTTCATCCTCAGCCTCCTCCTCCGTGTCTGCACATCACTGGCAGCATGGCACCCAGGGGGACACAAGGAAAACGCCCAGCAAGAGAAACTATGGTTGCCCCAGGGTCACTGCAGACCCAGAACCTCTTCCCATGCTGGTCCCGTGGCAGGGGACACTCACCCACTGTCCCCTGGGAGCCCTGGTGTGCCGGTCCCCTGTACCAGGCCACACCACCACAAGCACACTGTGAAGCATGGCCCACAGCAAAGCCCCTGGACACTTCCCCACTGCCCTCTGCTATAAACCTGAGCCTGTGCAGGCATTCCAGGGCAGCAAAGATGCTGCTCTCTGCCCTTGGGGCATCCCTGAGCACTCACTGGGTGATGCTGGTGGGGGATTTCCCTGGCACAGCCCTGTCCCCCGGTTTATAACAGCAACGGGGGCCCAAGTGATTGGCTTGGAGGCAGTGGGATCATGTCTGTCCCACCACCAGCCCCGTGGCTGGGCAAAAGTCCAGCACCAGCCCCCACATGGTTAAGGGACACTTGATGGGTGACAGCCCCAGGCAGGACAGCTGTTGCAGACAGACAAGACAGCAGGATGGGCAGGTGATCTGTGACCAGGACAGAAAACCCAACTCTGTTAGAGGAAAAATCAGGGCCATGGCAGCATCTCCTCTTTTTGCATCACATGATTTGGGACCCCCTGGACCCAGGAGACTCCACCAGCCCCCAAAGGATCAGCTAGGCCCCCAGATCACTGGAGATGATGCAGTACATAAGGAAGGGGAGCAGGAGCCAGGACATCCCCCACCCACGCTTGGAGACCAGGACCCGCCCATCATGTGATGCAGGGGGGATGCAGCATGGAGCATGGAGGACCATCCAGTGCCCCCAGAGCACTCACAGTTAGAGGGTCAGTAGCAAAAGCAGCCACACTGTTCCGCATCTCGCTCTCATTGCCCCGCAGCGGGATGAGGGAGATGTTACCCAACCTGGCATCCTGCTGCCGTGCCACCCGCATCCTGGGACGCTCCGAGGGCCACAGGGCACCCCCGTTCTGCAGACAGAGGGGAGGTGATGGAGACCGGAGACTCAGCCACCCCAGGACCTCTCTTTTGCCCTGGGGTGCTGGTGTTTAGGGATGCTTGGATAGCCCAAAGGGTTTCTGCTGGCCAAGCATCCCTCTGGGACTGTCCCCCATGGGGTGCCCCACTTTTACAGGCAGTGATCATCCAGCCCACTCCCTACCTGCACCTGAAGGAAGGTGGCGAACCACTCCCGCAGATCGGCCTGGGTGTCACAGCACAGGTACCTGTGGAAACAGTGTCAGCAGCCAGAGGAGGTGGTGGAGGCAAGTAGGATGTCCCCTCTGGCCACTCTAGGGACACCTGCCTGCTCCAGAGACCTCAGCTGCTGCTCTGCATGAGATCCCAGGGGACTGAAGGGGACAGCCACAGGGGTTCCTCAGGGGGAACCTGCATGGGGCCATGAGTGCTCAGCCAGGCTGTCTCCACACATATAATGCCCCTGCCAGTGTCAGGAGGGTGCAACTGGATGATCTTCAAGGTCATTTCCCATCCAAATGCTTTCATGATTTCTGTGATTCCCCATCTCCCCCTGCCATGGCAAAGGCTCCAGAGAGCTGCCATGTGTCTGTCTGTCCCAGGGAGAACCTCAGTATCCCGTGTCGCCTTCCCTCACCATTGCTGCTTCTCGTGCTTCTCGTTCTCGTAGAATACTGTAAAACCCCAGCTGGAAGAGAAGTGAAAACATGAACCCCAACAGCCCACACAGCTGTCCTCTGCTGGCCAAGTACCCCAGCAAACCCCTCTCATCCCTTCCAACCCCCATCTCTGCAAACCCCCCAGTGTCCCTGCAACTGCCCACTCCAGCCCCACAAACCCTCCCCCAGTTCTGCAAATCCCCTCAGCCGCACAAACACACCCCGGGACAGAGCCAGGAATAAGGCTCAGGAGAAAGACAGGGCAGGGACAGTGCCGAATACAGGGCTGGGGATAGTGCTGGGGACAGCCCCGTCCCTGCTGGTCGGAGCGGGCTGCAGAAGCGTGCTACAGGGCTGCTCTGACACCTGGTGGCAGGAGGCCTGGCCAGCAGGGGACGGGTCCACCAGTCAAAACTGTCCCTGTCCTTTTCCCTGTCCCCATCTCCACTCCTATCCTCGTCCTTCGGCACCTCAGGCCACCCCTTTGCTGCTCACCACGTCGGGGGTCGAAGCTTCTTTTTAACGCCCAGGTAGACCTTCAGGTTTCGGACAGGCCACTCCTTCTCTGGCTTGTGACTCTGGGGGAACAGGGAGCCAACACTACGTTGGTGGCTGCCAGACCCATCCCCACCCATCACAGTCCCCACCGTCGCTGGGATAAGAGTCCACCCCCCAGCAGGGAGGAAAAGCTGTGGTGATGTGGTGACAGGGAGGAGGGTGAAGGCCAGCATGGAGCAGAGCACGTGTCTGTCACCCATGGCTAGGGCCACAGGTAGCAGGAAAGGGACACAGGTGGCCTGTCCCCCCTAGACAGTGCCAGTTGCCTTCTGTGCTGGAACCAGCACCTGCACATTGTGACAGGGTCTCGAGAGTCTGGCAGTGGACATTCCCCAAGGGATCCCACCTCATACCCCTCCTCAGCATCATGGCTACAGCCATGGCAGTGGTGGACCCGGACCCACTCTGGCCAGAGCACATTCCTAAGCATCCCACTGCCATCGTGGCACAGCATGAGGACCCTTCCAGTGCTGGCTGTGCCTTGTCATGACCCAGAAGCAGGTGCCACACTGGGGACCCATCCATGTTCACATGCAAGCAGCATTGACTTACAAGAGCCCGATCCAATGCCTGCGGGATGGGGAAGCAGCTCAGCCCATCCCTATCCTCTCTGGTCCCTTCCCCAGACCCAGCTCTGGCTGCCTGGAGTGAAAGGCAGCGGGACCCACAGGCCAGAAGGGCCAAATGGGGAGAGCTGGTAGCACCAGGGACAGTTCCAGTGATTGGCTAGATCCAGTGTGATCCAGCACATGTGTGCTGCAGGATTGGATTTGAGACTGACCCTGGAATGGATCTGAGGTCAATCCTGGGCACACTTGTAAGGGCAGAGGGCACGGGAGCCCCTGCACCCCAGCTGAGCCCCGTTCCCCTCCCTACTCACGCTCTCCAAGGGGGGGCTCCGCTGCCTCAGGCTCTGTTCAACAGAGGAGAAGGGTTAACACAGGGGTGGGGACCCCTCCCTGCAGCCCCCCTGTGCCCACGGGCAGGGCACAGGGATGGATGGTAATCTGCTAGGCTGCAGTGTCACATCAGGGCAACCAGGAACTGGGGGGCACAGAGGGGCTGTCACTGCACAGCCACTATGCCAGCATGTCCCCCCTCAGCCCTGGCACTGACAAGAGCTCTGGGATCTGCTCCAGGTCAGGGTGACAGCATCTCAGGAGCCAGTTCTGGCACTGCCCACACTGCCCATGGCTGCCTGCACTGCCTGTGCCATGGCAGCCCCATTGCTGCCTGCACTGCCTGAGAGATGTCAGCCCACACGAGTCCCTGTCCTCAGGGAATCCCCAGAAAGTCACAGTGCGGCAGGGCAAGGTGGGGAAGTGTGGGGAAGGGCCAGGGAAGGGAAAGGCAAGGAAGGAGATGGGGAAGGAGATGGGGAAGGAGATGGGGAAGGAGATGGGGAAGGAGAAGGAGAAGGAGAAGGAGAAGGAGAAGGAGAAGGAGAAGGAGAAGGAGAAGGAGAAGGAGAAGGAGAAGGAGAAGGAGAAGGAGAAGGAGAAGGAGAAGGAGAAGGAGAAGGAGAAGGAGAAGAAGGCAGGGCTCACCCGCACTTCTTTGTAGAGGCGCAACCAGGACTGGTTGAGGATGAAGTAGCGATCATGGAAGCCAGTGCTCAGCCCAAGCCCCAGCAGGTTCCTCTCCTCCCGGAATTTCATCATGCCATGCTTGCAGTCACCCACTCTGCTGGCTGGAGGCATATGCCTGAGTGGCTCCAGCCCCCCAGGGGGCACAGGACCCCCAAGGAGGGCACAGCTAGACCCTCACCCCGTGCAACAGCAGCCCTCCAGCTGCTGCAGAGTCCTGGCATTGCCCCTCAACTCCCAGGCCAGGCAGGACCAGCTTCCCTACTGCTCTGGGCACAGCATTTGGCCATGACACCGTACCAGGAGACTCCAAGTCACATGCTAACTAGCCTGGTGCCTACTTGGATCTCATCCCATCCTCTTCCCCATTCCCAACCCCTTCTCCATCCCCTCCTCTCCACTCTGCATCCCCATCAGTGTTCAATCTTCATCCCATCCCATCCCATCTCGTCCCATCCCCTTCCTTCTCTCCCTGCCCAGATCATGGCCCCTGCCTCTCACCAAGGTAGATGAGCATGTTCTCCATGGACATCTGCTTCTTCACCACCAGGTAACTCTCTGTCCCCAGGCAGTGCAGGATGGGCAGAACTTTCTCCGAGTAATGCAAGGGCCGCTCTGTAAGTCATGGGACAGTCAGGTCTCAGCAAGTGCACCCAGGGCCAGCTCCCATCTAGAGAGTGTCACACTTGTGTCTGGAGGGTCTGACATGGTCTTGCCACTAAACTATGTTCCCAAGTGTCACACCTACAGGTTTTGTCAATTATTCAAGGACGTTCCACCACTGCCCTGGGCAGCCTGTGCCAGGGCTGGACAACTTTTTAGTTGAAGGAATTTTCTCAAATATCCAGCCTAAACCTCCCCTGGCATAACTTGAGGCATTTCCTTTTGTCTTGTCACTTGTTACCTAGAAAAGACTAAGACTGACCCCCACCCATTGGCAGCAGGAGCTCAAGTCATCAGCAGGCAGGACCGGGCTCTCATCCTGTTTCTGTTGATCTCTCTCTTGCTGCTGCCAATGGCCAACACAGGGCTGATCACTTTGGTGGCCAGAGAACCTGGACACCTCCCTCCATCAAAGCTTCAAAGGCACTTGAACTCCTAACGATACAGACAGATGCCCTGGCCCAAACTTCAGCCCATCTGCAGTACTCGGCCATGTGCAAGCTGGATGAGGTAAACAACTGTCCTCCCCTGAGCACCTGGAGCCCATCCCAGACTGCTCCATGGTGCAATCACAAGGGGAGATTTTTCATACCCATCCCTATATCCAATCCCATTTCCACCTGCATCTCTATCCCCAGACCCATCCTTACTCCATCTGCATCACCATGTCCATCAGATGAGTCTTTTCTGTCCTCATCCCCACTTTATTCCCATCTCTAACTTCATCCCCACCTGCATCCCCATCTCCACCTCTAACATCATCCCCATCTCCATCTCCATCTCTCTACTCCTCATCACACCCTCATGCCCCTGCACCAACCTGCCTCTTCCCTCTCATTCACTTCAAAGCAGCTCCAGTAGTCCTTCTCCTTCATGACAATTTTCCGCCGGTCCAGGATCTCAAAGGTGAGCTCCTCAGCCGTCATCGTGGCTGGAATCTGACAGGGAGGGGGCAAGAATCCATCAGGCAGAGCCCAGGGCCCTTCCATCCTCACACCACAGATGTCCAGCTCAGTGTGAGTCCCCACACCACCACAGAGGCTTGGACATACAATGAAGGGACCCCTGTCCCCTCTTCACCCTCTGCCCAACCACTCACCTTGACATGCTGCTCTGTCTCTGTCTTCTTCTCCTCCAGATAGACAGTGCAGATGAAGTCCCCAGCTTGCTGGAGGGCAACAGCAAATGGCTTCAACCTGCAGCTTCCCATGTGTGGGTGAAATCCCCCCCCACCAGTGTGGACACCCCTTGCCCAGGGCATGTCCAAGAGATGCTACAGTAGATACTGAGGGCCCCAGGAGAAGATGTCCCCATGTCCAGGACCCACCTGTGTTCCGCTGGATGATGCCTCCCGCATCTTCATGATGGCTGTGATTTCATCCTGCTGCTTCTTCATCTCTTGGTCATTGACCTGCCAGGGAAGAGAAGCCATCAGGGTTGACCAGACAATTCTGGCTCCAGGCTTCTGGTTTCCAAGGTTTGAAAACACATGGTCCTCTCTCCCCTTGTCTCCAAAGCAAGGACAGCTCTGTCTACAGACAGAGCAGACCTGACTTCCTTTTCCTTCCATCTCTCCCTGCCCTGTGAATGTCTGCACCCTGGGACCCAGGGGTGAACCTACATTAAAGATCTCCACGTAGTGACTGATGAGGTCCTCCACCACACGTCCTGCCTTGTAGTCCTTCCCATCCGTCTGGAAGAGCGTGGGCCCAAAGACAATGGCCAGGTTGTGTGTGTTCATCTGGTTCTCCCCAGAGAAGCACTGGACCCTGTGGGAAACTCTGTCAAGATTCCTGCCCCGGAGTCCTCCCCGGACCCCTCCCTTCAACCCCCATGCAGGACACGATGCTTGGCATCAGGCACAGCTTGACCCCAAACTCCTTTCCTTTCCTTGCTGGGGACATGAGTGAAAGGATGAGGGCTCTCCCACACCCCAGAGCCCCCAAGGACCCCACAGGGGAGAGGCTGATGCCCAGCGGGTCGATGCCATACCTGAAGAGGTGATTGATGAGTGCCTTCAGGGTGGCCCGGTTCACTGGAGGGAGGGCAGCCAGGAGCCGCCGGTACTCGCCAACCTTTGCCCCCTCATCCTCCAGCGCTGCCAGAGGGAGAGAGTGAACATGGAGGAGCATAAAATGGAGATTAACGCTCAGAGCCACACCATCCTCTCTACACACTGCACTTCCCCTCTCCTGTCCCAACGTGGGGATGAAGCATCCCAAGTCCATGAGGCCAGAGAACATCCCAGGTCTGCAGAGCCAGAGCTGGAGCTGAAGCATCCCAGAATCGTGGGACCAGAGTAACCCAGCATCATTGCCTGGAGCATCCCAGCATCATGGAGCAAAAGCACTCCAGTTCCACGTGGCCAGACTGTCCCAGCTCCATGGGGCTGGAGCACCCTAGCTGAATGGGGAGGAGCATCTCAGCTCCATGGGGCTGGAACCTGCCAGTTCCAAGGTGCCAGAGCATCCTAGGCCTGGAGAATCCCAGGTCCATGGGGATTTATGCTTTATGGGGCTGAAATCATCCCAGACCTGTGAGGTCAGGGCACCCTGGCTCCATGGGGCTACAGCATCCCAGCTCTGCAGGGCTAGATCACCCCAGACTCATGGGAACAGAGCATCTCAGCATAATGGAACTGGAGCATCCCAGCATCATGGGGCCAGAGCACCCCAGCTCCACAGAGCTGGAGCATCACAAGGCTGTAGCATCCCAGCTCTCTGAAGCCAGAGCATCCCAGCTCCATAGCTTGTGTCTGTTTTTCTGCTGGGTGCATCTATCCCAAGTGTCCAGTGAGCAGATCCAGAAGGGAAGGGGGATCTGGCTGTCTCCCCTGGCTCAATCGTGGGAATTTATGCTTTATAGGGCTGAATAATCCCAGACCTGCGAGGCCAGGGCACCCTGGCTCCATGGGGCTACAGCATCCCAGCTCTGCAGGGCTAGATCACCCCAGACTCATGGGAACAGAGCATAATGCTTATCTCAGCATAATGGAACTGGAGCATCCCAGCATCATGGGGCCAGAGCACCCCAGCTCCACAGAGCTGGAGCATCACAAGGCTGTAGCATCCCAGCTCTCTGAAGCCAGAGCATCCCAGCTCCATAGCTTGTGTCTGTTTTTCTGCTGGGTGCATCTATCCCAAGTGTCCAGTGAGCAGATCCAGAAGGGAAGGGGGATCTGGCTGTCTCCCCTGGCTCAACCCCACCCTTGCCAGAGCATGAGTCTGTAGAGGGGCAGCATGAACACACTCCAGTCCCCACTCACCACCACGTGAGACCCCAGCACAGGGGAACATGTGGAGCCCAGACATGTTTCCCCAACCCAAGAAGGGGACAAACCCCCTGCACAGAACTGAGTGGCCCACGCCCCTCCTCCTGCCACCCCCAAGCAGCCCCCAGGGCTCACCCGTTGCCCACAGCCAGTGCGAGGCCCACTGCCGAGTGAAGAGCCCATCCCCAAGGTCACGGAAGAAGCGTTTGAGGGTGTTGGCAACATCGTCCACCTGGTGCTCGCCCTCTTTCAGGCAGACGCAGCGTGCATCCCGCTGCAGCACCTCTAGAAGGCTGGTGGTCTTGGAGTTCTGCCCGCTCTTGCGGTAGATTCCCTCAGACGTCAGCCCTGTGATGGAACCAGTGGGAATGAGACCCCATCTGCAGGAGACAGACCCCACTCCTGGCCCATCAGCTCTCCATCAAACACTGCCAGGTGCCACAGAGCATCCCACCCTGCAGGTGCTCCTGTGACTGGAGACAAAGTCCTGCTAGAGACAGAGCCCTCCCACAGAGCTGGAACAGATGTTCAGGGAGGGAGGGAATCACGTATCACAAGCATGTAGAGCCCTCAGCCTGCCACACCACACCAGTGGGGCAGCCTGAACGCCAAGCTGTGGTCCCTGCCAGCATCCCAGGGCTCGATCCATACCGCACTGAGTGATGTAGTCGATGCAGCGGTCCACCAGCAGCGGGACGTCCGACTCCGTCAGCTGCTGCTCCGACAAGGTGTCCCCCGAGCTGCTCGCGGCCTTCTGGATGGCATGGACCCAGCCCAGGAAATCTAGCTTCCGCTCCCCTTGGATGTACAGCGTCCTGCCAGCACGCCTAGGCTCAGCACGTGGTCCCCCACACCCCACTGCATGCCTGCAACCCCCAGGAAGGCTGGCCCTGGGGGCCTGCAGGTGAGCCCAACTCAATTTTGGGCATCTATAGTCATGGCAGGGAGGGTAAAGACACTCCAGAACAAGGAGGGGTATTTGGCTGGGGGGGAGGCTTTTCCCCCACCTTCTTACCTCCGCCTCTCCACCAACACCAGAACCTCGTGGTCCCCCTGGATGGCTGGAAAGGAAGGCAGGGAGCCCATCACCTACAGGAACACGGGGTGGTGATACAGTTCCCCTAGACCCACATGCTGTGGAAGGCTCTGCCAACAGGTCTGGCTCCAGTCCAAATGGGACAAGCAGAGACGGGGAAGTGGATGGAGAGGGGGAAGAGGATGGAGAGGAAAAAGAGCAGCTGCATTCCCTGTCTTTCAAGGGACCCTGAGCTCCACAGGAGCGATATCCACCAGACTCCCACCAAAAGCTAGGCGCACCCTAGAGCAGGATTTGGGGGACACAGCCTCCCCCCGAGCCAGGAGGGTCCTGCCAGCAGGGCAGAGGTACTCACAGAGCTCCTGCAGCTTGCGCAGCTGGAGAGGCTCCTGCCGACGGCCATCCTCAGAGCAGACATGGAGAGTGGAGCCGACCAGGGCAAACCAGCCCTCCTGGGCACGCTCCAGGGTGAGACCCCCTTTGTAATGCAGTCGGCCAAGCCGCTCAAAGTCTAGTGCCAGCAGCTCCTCGGCACAGGGGTGGACAAAGGACTGAGCCAGGGAGGAGAGGAATCCATCAGCACCACTGCGTCCAGTTGCCACCAGCACCCAGGGCCACCCCAGGCCCCTGCACCCCACCTTGGCAATAGACTTGATCCACTCTCGAGCAGAGTCAGGGCTCTCCAGCCCAAAGAGGTAGAGTCGATCTGCCTCGGTGTACACCTCAAACGTGCTCTCGATCCTTCAGGAGGGAGGAAAAGCAGAGCCTGGGTACCCACGGGTGTGGGATAGAGCTGGGTGGGCAATAGGGTGTTCCAGGGGTGGGAGCATCCTGCTGCATGGCTGCTGATGGCTCTGCCAATGGCTGATCTAATGTGGGATCCCCCCACCATGGCCCTGGGCACTCCAGCATCCCTGTGCTGCCAGACACATTCCAGCAGAGACATAGGGACTGCACAGGGGCCACAAAATGGTTACAAAGGAGCTGGAGTGGGACTCCAAAGGGATTACAAAGCAGAGGCAAAGAGGTCGCAAAGGTGTTACAGAAGTATTGGAAAGATGCTGCAAAGGAGCTGCAAACAATTTATACAGAATCCTTGCAAAGCCATCGGTTCAGGGACCCTTGGTGGGGTTGGGGACTACAGTGCCTTTGTGACACCCCTCATGGGGGCCACTGCAGCTGTGCCAGGCCATGCTGGAATGGAGAGGCTGTTGGGGCACTCCAGGGGAATGCAGCCTTACCCATGGGCATGGAGTGGGTTGTTCACCAGGCAGACAATTTCCTCCACCCTGATCTCGCCGTTGGGCACAGTGTTACGGTCATTCTCATAGTAGCTGAGCACGCCGTCCTGCAGCGTGCACCACCGCCTGCTGAACTCTGCACGGCACAGGAGAGCACTCAGCAGCCTCCCTGAGCTCTGGCCCGCCCCACGGCACCCACCAAGCCAGCCTGAGCACTCCAGCAGCGCCCACTGGGTGCCCATCGGATGTGACCACCCAGCAAACCAGGCTACCAAGCAGTGCTGCACTTCCCCACACCACCTTTTCAATGCCTGAGAGAACAGGGGAGGGTGCAATTTCCCTTCACAGGGGAAATTGCTATCAATCTCCCAGCTCCCTTTTCCCTGTCTCACAAATGTACCTTCTGGGCCCTTCCGCTCACTGATGGGCTTGACCATGGAGGGGGTCTTGTAGAGGAAGCCATTGTGGGTAATGGAGGGCAGGTGCACGGAGTAGGGCTTCTCCTCACTGCACACCATCTCCAGGCGTGGCGGCTCTGCAAGCAGGGAGATCACTCTGTCATGGGGAGCTGCCCTGTTCCCCCAGCCCCACAAGGCAGCTGGGTCCCCCCCATCTCAGCACAAGGAGCATCTCACAGGCTGCAGCCCGAGCTCCCACCACAGCACAGCTGGGGTGCAAGGAACAGTGCTGGTATCCAAATCCAGGGCTGCCTGGGAGTCATTCCATATCCTGAGTCCTCCGCAAAGCCGCTCCCTAAGCATGGAGCTGGGACTGGATGTGAACAATGTGAGCCCAAGCTTTGGATTTCTCTGGCTCACTGGGGTGGCCTGGGAGGCCTCGCAGCTCTCCCAGACACCTTTAGTGCTGACACGTCAGGAAGAGCTGGGCCAGCCCCAGACCTGGGCAAATTCCAACTTCCGCAGGAATGCAGGACAGACTTGGCTGCCAAGGCAAGGAGGGAGGTGACAGCTCTGGCAGGTGCTGGCCAGCCCCCCACACCTCTGTTCCACCTGCCCAAGTGTTCCTGCCCACTTGCCCAACACCTATATTAGGGTACAGATCCCATGGGCACTGTCAGCCCTTCTGGAGTCAAGTACAGGGGCTGGGGTGCACATCCAGCAGAATGGGACTGGTCATTAGGGGGCCAGCCCTCCTGCCCCAGGGACGTGCTGGAGGTGGGGGCTGCCCATCTGACAAAGGAATGTCCCTTGAAGCTGCCTGGAATGCAGTGTGGGAATTCTCTCTCCTATCTCTTCTGGTACCTGCCTGCATCCCCAGCTGGGCTCCAGACCTGTGTTCCCAGCTGGGATCGAGCTCCCAGGGGTGCAGGGGTTCCCCAAAGCCTCTCTTCCCTCTCTCAGAGTACACAGACCCTGGACAGTGCCAGCAGACGGAGAGCCTCCTGCCAGGAAGCTGCAGGGCAGCACAGAGAGCTGGGACCAGCTCCAAACATAGCTGTGTCCCCCAGAACACCCCAGCAGCAACTCCGGGAATGTTGTCAGTGGGTGTGAGCTCATGGTGGAGCTTCAAGGGGGTCAGCTCTTACCTGAGGTTTTGTTGTGGAGCAGGAACTCCATCTGCAGCCGCTGCCCACTTCTCTCAGCCAGGGCCAGGGGCGTTGGGCACTGGGGGTCCCCGGTGTCACAGGTCACCGATGCCCCACAGAAGAGCAGAGCCTGCGTCTCTGCCAGGTCACTGGTGGTGACGGCCGCACACAGAGCCTGCAGCAGAGCCGGGAGGCCAGTGGTGAAGCAGATGGCTCCAACCGAGGAGGAGGAGATCCCCGGCAAAAGGAGCCGGGCGAGTTCAGCAAGCTGCCGGACCCCCGGCCGCCTCCCGGCCGCCTCCCAGCCGCCTGGTCAGAACAAAGGAGGCTCAAACTGGGAGAAAAAGTTTGGAGCCGGCAGCGAATCCCTCCCTTAAGGAGCCGGGGTGAAGTCATACGGCAGCGGGGCGGGCCGGCCAAGCCAGAGTAGGAAAACAAACAAGCCCACATGCGAATTCCCTCGGCTGCCTGGGCCCCCCATGCACCCCCACTGCTTGTAAAAACACTGGAAAAGCCACGGCAGGGGCAAAGCCATGGCAGAGCAGGAGGTGAAGATCAGCAGCCAGAGTGCCAGGATGGCATTCCATGTGTGGTGTTCCTTGTGTGACCGCTCTAGTCTGGCACCCTGCCAACAGCTGGCACTGGGAATGAGTGCCATGGGTGGTGATTAGCAGTACTGAGCAGGTACTCCTGGGGAGGGATATCAAACTGCCTCAACTGGGGTGTGCCCCAGCACCAGCCCCCCTAAGACCCATCCAGCGCAGAGCTTGAGCCCAAAACAATTTCCAGGCGAGGGAGAGGTAAACCTGGAGCCCCCAACCCTGGGGCTGCCTGGCTGTGGTAGGGAGATCCCATCTCGGACACGTCTCTCCACCCTGGTCATGAAGCTGGTTACACCCCACGGCAGGGATGTTACCCTGTTCCCACAGCTGGCTCATCCTTTCTGGAGAGCCCAGACTTTGGCTTGGGGTGCACAGTGAGGACACAGCGTGTGCAATGGGGGCTGGGGGGATACAGGCAGGGAGGTATGGTGGGCAGTCTGCTTGGACACAGACTTCACTCCCCAAAGAGCCTCAGGACCCCAGCTCAGGCAAACCCCCAGGAGGGTGCCCATCCCAGGGGGCCACTGACCCTGTCCAGCTCCTCCTGGTTGCCGAAGAGCGGGTGGTACTGACGGTACTTGCCCTCCCGGTATTTGGCGATGAGGAAGCGCCTCCTCTCCTGGCTGCCACTGGTGGGGCTGATGGCCTCGCTGGGAGGCACATTTGCAGCCCAAAACTGGTTGGCCATTGCGTTGCCAAACTGCTGGAAGAGCTGTGGAAACAATGACAAGGAGACGCCAGTGTGACCATACTGCTGGGGCATGCGGGGGGCTTTGCTGGGGGGCAGGGTGCTGCCCGGGAGGAAGAGTGGGGTGCAGGAAGAGCATGGATGGGGAGTGGGGAGTGGGGCTGGGCAGGGTGCAGGTGCACCCACCCACTGCAGGCACGCAGCATCTGACAGCCCCCATGGCCGCCAGCTCCCCTTCCTGCCCCGGAGAGCCACATCTGGAAAGCAGCACCCAGCTGTGGGAGGTGGGGTGGTGCTCGGTACCCTCGGGGACAGATTCAAAGTGCTTTTGGTGGCCCTTTGCCATGCCGCTAGCCACAGCTGAGCAGTGCCATTAGGGGATTTCTCAGGCAGACACACATCTCCTCAATGCCCTCGGGACACTGCCAGCACCCCGCAGTTCTTAGGGCTGCAATGGGTGCATCGAGGGAGGAGAAGGGGCGGTGCGAGCTCGGGCCCTGGGGCTGCCGGGGTGGATTCAGGCAGGGTTCCCAGAGAGGGGAGGGGAAAGGGAGCAGCCGCAGGCAGCAGCTGGAAGCGTTTGGGAGCTCGGGGAGCAGGCAGCGCTGGAGGCGGGGGCTGCGCGGGTGGGACGCCAAGGAGGAATGCAGGATGTGAGCAGGACAGATGGGAAGAACGGAGCCAGGCAGGCTCTGCCGGCGGGAAATGGCTGCCAGGTTAGGTCTTGAAACGAATCCCAGCTGCCCCCGCCCACCCATTCCCGGCCCTGGCTGCGCCGCCACATTCCTGCGCGCCGGCGGCCATTCCGCTCCGGGGGCTGCCCTGCCCTCGGCCCTGCTCCAGCCCACAGCCACTCCAGCCCTCCACAGCCACCTCACAACCAGGGACAAGGAGACACCGGCTGTCTGTGGCCTTACCGGCGTGCTGAACTGCTGCCAGGGCTCCACAGGGACAGATGAAAAGGCTGCCGGGGGTCCTCTCCCCAGCCAAGCCGCACCACGGTGTCCCCCCAAAGGCCTGGAATCAGCCTGGAGGAGCCCTGCCGTGCTCCAGCACCCCCCCAGCCCACAGCCAGCAGCTCCATAATGCAGCAGGAACAGGGTGTTGCCCCCCAAAAAAGGGCTTTTTGGGACTGGTCTGTGCCACTACCTCGATCAGCTCCTCAGTCCACACCTTCCTGTCCATCTTCAAGCTCCGGACTTTGGTGATGCCAGGGCCCAGCCCCCGGTGTTCCCCTGCCGGCGAGATGAGCCATTAGGGACCCATTCCGGGCTGGGAAAGGTCTGGGGGTCCCCAGGGATCCCTATTTGTGCCACTCTGGATACGGGTACCTGCACATCTCTTGCAGATGACAACACAGAGGTTGATGGAGGCCCAGTCGGGTTTGGGGGAGCCGCAGTCGGCACAGAAGCGGTTGGACTCCACCGCCCAGATCCTCTCGGCCACCTCCGAGTTGGAGAGTGCCTCAGTGATGGACTGCTGCATGGCCTCCACCCACTCCTCCTTCTCCTGCTCCGAGTCAGCAGAGAAGCTGCCAGGAGGGATGGGGGTGAGATAAGCCATGGCTCGGGGTGGGCAGCACCCTCAGCACCCCCTCCCCACCCTGGGTTCACCTGAAGATCCTGTATGGTGTGGTGAGGTCAAAGCCCCGGCGATCCACCTCCTTGACGTTCCCCACATTCATCGCGATGTAGGTGATGCCAATCCCCAGCCGATAGTCCTGGTGGGGGAGGGTGGGCAAGGGATGAAGTGGGGGATGGATGATGGGATCCAGTGCCTGGGAGCTGGGGTAACTCTGTCCTTTCACTGCCCAGCTCTCATTCTGGGTGTTCCTAGGGCACCACAAACTCTGGAAGCAGCTACAGTGGATGTCATGCTCCTGGGAGATCCCAAGGCTCAGAGCCAGCAGAGAGGGAGGGCTCAGAGGGCAGCACCCTGTGGCTTCTGTGCTGTCCCTGTTTGAGGGATGGTGGCAGGCTGGGTGCCCTGGCTCACTGCTGCTCTGCTCAGGCTGGGAGTGCAAAGGGAAGGGGTCCCCATAGTGCCACAGCCCCCCCAGCAACCCACCTCCGCATTCTTGTAAAGGAACACTTTGTCCCCAGCCACCACCACAAAGAGCTTGTGCTTAAAGCCCCGCAGCTCCAGGAAGCCACTCTTATCGGCCGGCTCAGTGGCACTGTCAGCAGCTAAGGACGTGGATGTCCTGGCTCCAGCTTTGCTCTTCCGCTCCTCTGCAGTCTGCTGCAGGGTCCGTATCCACTCATTGCGGTCCGCTGTGGGGCCAAAGGCGAGACAGCTCAGCATCAGCCTGAGCCCAGGAGCCAATGGGACTCATCCCTTGGGCTGGGAAGGGAGAGGAGCTGGGGACCAGGGAGCCCTGTCACTCACCATCATTCTCAGCCCGGAACACAAAGTTGCGGTTGTTGGTGACAACCTCGAATTTCTGGTCCCCAACGCTGGAGACGCGGGAGATGGAGGAGACGGGAATGAGCCGCTTGGAGTAGATATCCTGGGTCAGGGAGTGGGAGACACGCTGCTCATGTCTGTGGCCTCGGGGAAATGGGGCGGTTAGTGCCCCAGGCTCCCAGTGCTCCAGCTCCAATGGCCAGGAGGCTCTGAGCCTCCCACATCCCATCCCCAGCCCCCAGTCACGGCTGCTCCCTGGGATACTGACCCTTGGTACAGCCACATCTCCGAGTTGGGATGCCCAGAGGGAGGTGGCCCTGCTGGGGCAGCTCCTCTGCCACCTTCCCATCCCAAACCCCCAGATCCATCTTCTCCACCCACCTTTTCACTGTCAAAATAGCGGAGGTAGTCAGTGTCAAGCTTCACCCAGCGCTTCTGGTAGATGTAGGACCTGGGAGGGGACCGGAGGGACCCATTGGAGGGGACGCCCTTGAACTCAGGATGATTCTGCTTGCATGTTCACGCCCCAATTGCCAAAAGCCTGGGGCCACCTCGGCATTGATCCTGCCCTGTGTCCCCAGCCCTCAATGTCCCCAGCCCTCCATTCTGACTTGTGTCCCCAGCCCTTGATGTGGTGCTATATCCCCAGTCCTCTATCCTGCACAGGGATAAGAGGCCTGTCCCAGCCAGCCCTTGAAGTCCCCAGCCCTTGATCCCGTGCCCTCATGTTGCTGTTGGGGATAGCAACGGGGACTTCATGCTTTCCTCCAAGGCACCAATTAAAACATGGAGCTGAGAACAAGGGCTGCCTGTAACAGCTAGGCAGGATTCAATCCAGGAGACACATTCCAGGAGGGGTCAGTGGCACCAGAGCAGAGGAAGAAGCTGTGTATCTCTGTCAGGATGGGGATACAGATGAGAGGCAGGACCCTCTGGGGGCTGGAAGACAGCCCACCAGAGACCCCTTTGCCCTCCCCAGCTGAGAAGGCAGAGCAACCATGCACCACAGGAAAAGGGAGAACACTCTTCAGCCCATAGCTTTAGCATTAGGGCTGCAGGAGGAGCCAAGCCCTTTCCAACACAGCTCCAGCAAGCCCTGCCATGCAGCCCCCTACCAGCACTGAACATCCAGGTCCCCCCGTGCTGGTGGGGCTGGGGTCTGTTGTGGCAGCAGGGACATGGCTGCTCAAGGGCTTGTTTACTCAGGAAAAGTTTGCTGGAGCAGTTTCCCAGGGACCTTCCAGCTGCTCTCACTTCCCCAGCAGCACGACTGCTCTGTTGCAAACAGCTGAGCTTCCTCCTCGGTGGAACTGCTGCCTCAGGGCTTACTCGGAGCCCAGATTAAGAAGCTCCCAAACATCCATCATCACATCTCCTGCTTGATTGTTGCCTCCCAGCTAGTGCAGGGGCTCTTAGGGTGGGCTCCCTGTGCACACTGTGTTGGTTGTGCTCACTGGGCTCACTAGACTCCCTGGGGGATCACTGGCTCCCCATGACTCCCTGCCTTGCTCACCATGGAGCACACAGACACAAGCCCAGCACTTCCCCTCTTTTACTGTTGCACCACTCTGACTATCCACCATGAGCCCAGGATCTGGGGCTGCTATCCCATGGGATAGGGGCTATCACCACCTCCTCCTGCAGCAAACCCAGCGATCCCAAATGCACAGCTCAGCCCACACACCCCACCTCATCCCTGACAGCTTCTCTTGTGGTCACTGCTATTCCAGGGCTCCCCCAGAGGAAAAGCAGCTCTTTTCCCAGTGATGAGAGGAAGGCTGAGCTGCAGCCTCCCCTTCTCAGCAAAGTCAGTACAACAACTGGTGACACCTGCTCTGAGAAAGGCTCTTTCACAAAAAAAATGGGTGTTTCTAGCCTAATTCACAGGTTAGGATGGAGTGGAAGGAACCCCTAGCAATGGATCTTCACCAAAGCAAAAGTACACCCCCATGAGCAGGAATAACAGGTGAGAAAAAGGAGGGGACAATTACTCTTCTATGTCACACAGGGACCCCCGGTACATCACTCACCCCTGTGGCGGGTTCTTGTCCAGCCACCCTGCTCTGATGGTGGGTGACAGCAGGCTGGTGGCAGCGGTGCCCTCCATGCTGTCACTGAATGTTCCGGGGATGCTGCTAGGGAAGGCGTCGGGTGCAGGCGGGTGCAGGCTGGGGTCCCTGTCACTCCAGCTGCTGCCACCACTGGGGATGAGGAGCCGAGGGAGGGGGTTAAGAGCTGGCAGGTCCAGGGAGGGGCTGAGGTTCCCCGGCATGCTTCAGCCTCCCTGTGACCTTCCCTGAGGCGCAGGCAATGCAGGCCAGCTGTATGCAAGCGGGGACACTGGGGACAGTCCCCTCGGTGGAGTCCCAGCGTGTCCCCCAGTCTCAGGGACAGTCCAGGCCTGAGGAAGGGGGACAGGGGCACCCCCAGGACTACAGCCCCAACCCAGTGATGCACAGAGCTGCTGCCTGCTCACACACACAGGTCCTGCCTGTGCCCATCTGCATGCACACCATGGAGCTGTGCAGACACAAGAGGCCCTGACCTGTGCACTCGCCTGCCCTGCCATGCACAAGAGCTCTCTGCCCGTGCTCACAGCCCCCCACAAACAGAAACACCCCCTGGTACACACACACAGCACCACACGCAGGTGCTCTGCACACAGCACTGCAGCCAAGCTGTACCTGGCAGGGGATGCACTGGGGGGGTCCTCGCCAAACTCATCTTCACTGAAAAGGCTGTTGAAACGCACGGACCGTGGCTGCCCCATCCTGGGCTCAGCATCCTCCTGCAGAGACACACACGGGTGACATCTCAGGTCTCCTTGGTGCCGCCACCGCAGCGTGAGGGTGCAGGGTGGAAGGAAGGAGAGGGGACCTGATGCCATGTCACCAGCCCATCCCCAGTGCCAAGGTGCCCAGGAAGAGGCATGCTGAGGCTCACAGAGAGAAGAAAGTGTAGCCAAGGTTGGAGCTGAACACCAGGATGGTTATTTGTAGCAGCTAAAATGTCGGAGCTTCATCAGAAATCTGGCATTGCCTCCTTGGCCCTGGTGTTCCCAAACCAAGGTGGATGGGGGCTTCAGGTGTTCAGGGAGTTCTGCAGCTTCTGGGGCTCCTCAAATCCATCCATTCCCATCCCAGAGAGCGAGGGAGGCATGTGGAAATTCACAATCCAGGGATTACATTCAAGATGCAGTGCTGGAGATGTCTACTAGCACACACTCTGGGCATGTGTGGTGTGCTGCACAGCTGTGGGTGACCCCTGGAGACCCAGAGGACCCAGTGAATGCTTGGGGGCACTTGGGTGAGACCTGGTGGGTGCTCCCCAGGGACCCTTGAGTCCCAGCACCACTGAAAGACCTGACAGATACTTCGAAAGGACACTGAAGAACCGAGTACCATCTCTGGGGTTCCAACCCCCATGGGAGACACAGTGGGTGCTCCCTGGAAACCCTGACGTTCCAGCCCCCATGGGAAACCCAGGGGGTACCTCCTAGCAACATGTGGGAGACCCAGTGGGTGCTCAGTGAAGCAGAAGCTCTCTCTAGTCACTGCCAACATGCTCCTCCAGCCCTAATCAGTATCTCTGGATCATCCCAAGGTACCTGTCCTTAGGGTCAGTCACCCTGCTAGCTCCTGCCCACCTCCAGGCCCATGGTGGGACCAACCTTGGCCATCTCCCCCGTCGGTCTGGCTAGTTCCTCCTCCCACGCCGAGTCCTCGTAGTCTGAGTCATCTGGCAAAGGAGAGGGAAGATGCTGGGAATCAGCTGGGGTGGAGCAAGGGGTCCCAATTCCCCCTGCTACCCCAGAGCCTGTGGGGAAGGTGATACAGACATGGCTGGCTTCTCCTTGCTTTGCCCTTGAACAAATAACCACCCCATTCCTGTGATAACAAAGGTTTTATCAAGGAGTTTGCGGGAGAGCTGGGAAAGGGCAAAGTCCTGCGAGTGGCACTTCCCGGCACTGTCGTGACTCCTGGCCTCGCCAGAAGGGACCTTGGTGACACCAGCCCCAGCACCATGGCCCCATCCAGGCTCCTGTGTCTCTGCCTGGGAGCTCCTGCTGCTGGGGGTTCCCAGGGGCTTTTTCCACAGCTTGTTTTCCAGGGTGGATTCCCCTCCCTCCTCTCCCATTCCTTATCAGCTCCCGAGCTTGTGCACCGTGGAAATGAGATCCCAGATGATGATGGGAACAAGAGATGGTTCCTCTTCACCCAGCACCCACATCAGCAGGAATCCTGGTCAGGATTGTAACTCCACAGGGAACAAGTGGCCCCAGACAGCCTGGCCCTGGCAGACACCCACTCCCAAATCCCACTGAGAATTTGGATCAGATTCGTCCCAAAACCACAACCCAGATGATGGTGTTTGGGCCCTGGCAGCAGGTGAGGATGCTCTCAGGCTACAGGGGCTTGAGGGGAACAGGTAGATGCTCACCTTGGCACCATAGAAACCCCCTGCAAACTCTGCATCCCAGACCCATCAGGGTGGGAGCAGCTTTCCTCTCTGCACCCCCCAACACACAGATAATCTCTGTCCTGATAACCTGTCCACGGCTTCTCCCAGCTTCTGAAACACACCCCAGATCCCAGTTAAACCAGTGCTGCTTCCTGCAGGGCTGCTGGCCTTGAGAGGCACCCAGCACCCCACACAACTCAGCCCTTCTTCTTCCTTCCAGCAGAGCCATTCCAGCTGAAGTACAGTCCCAGCAGGACTGCACCCTGAGACCAAACCTTCACCTTCCCATGGGGGTCCCCAGCTCAGCATTGCTCCCTGCAGTTGGCTGAGCCCCAGGGACACCCTGAGGATGGGGCTGGGGGATGCAAAGGCATCCTGGGACCCCAGAATCAGCGACATCTGCATTTCACCCCCCTAATAGGTTCACTTTTCCTCTGTGAGTGAGTGTGGGTGCTTCCAGCACCCACAGAAACCTTTGCTCTGCCCCAGGAGAGGCTGCACCCAAATCCTCAGTCCACATCCCCTGAAACTACCAACCCAGGTCTTACACCCCTTCCCTGAAGTCCCCTGCTCAGACCTCACACACCCTAAATCCCCCAGCCCAGGTCTTGCACCCCCGACCTCCCCAGCCCAGAAGGCAAGAAAGGGGACAGAGAAGAAAGAGACCTCAGCAAGGACAGAGGAACAAGCTGACTAGAAGGAAGGCACAGCACCCATGGGATGGGTGCTGATGGACTGGCAGCCAGCTATCCCAAGGCAAGATTTGTGACAGGGGAAGCGTGGAGAGGCCCCCTTGTACTCACCAAACTCTGGCACGAAGGGAAGGGTGGCCTTGGAGGGCAGTGGTGGTGGCGGCGGCGCTGGCGCCCTGGTGCGAGGCGGGGGAAGCTGGGAGGGCAGAGTGACACCGGGTGCCCTTTCAGGGATGGGCACCTCCTCCTTCACAGGGATGCTGTGGGAGAGAGCAGCAAGAACTGCCTTATGCCAGCCCCTGCCTCACTTCCCAACCCTGACACACCTGCAGGGGGGTCACAGAGGATCACCAAAAGGGACCAAACCCCCAGCAGACCCAGACCCACAAACCAATTCCTAGGACACCACGGTAAAGCCTTTCCTGTGCTTGGGTTATATGACTACTCTTCTAGCCTGGAAATGTTTTCCTGGCATCCAACCTCACTCCCCTGTGTTTGCTTCACGGCTCAGGATCCTTATCTGACTCTGGGACACCCCAAGCCACCCACATCCTTGAAGCCACATCCCAGTGCAGGTTGTTTTCTTTCCTCCAGTCTAAACAATGGCAGAGTTGCTTCCTTAGCTGGTTTGCAAGTGGCCTTGAGCAGGACGGGGGTCCTAGGGATGCTCTGTACCACCAGCTTCCTTCTGGTGGAGTGGACACTGGAAATCCAGGGTGGCTGCTACAGCAGCAAGAAATCCTGGAAATGGAGCTTCTCCTGGCTCAGTGAGGAATGCCCCCAGCCCCAAAACCTTGACCAGCAAGGAGAGGGACCATGGGGACCGTCCTCCTCTCCACTGAGCCTGAGCAGCTGGGCTCAGCCACTCCTACCTCCTGTTCCTTGCTTCCTGTCTTCCTGAGGCTGAAAGGTGACGGGCAATCAATAGAAACCTCTGGGGTAATGGTGTTTTCAAGGGCAGGAAGTTAAGAAGTTTCTCCAGGGTATAAAAACACAAGGTACCTTTGAAACATCCCTGAATCCAGGGCAGAGACAGTGGGCAGAATTTCCACCCCAAGCCCCAGGTAGGTGAGCCTCAGGGGACCTGGAGGCTGACACCATCCCCATCCTTGCCCCAGCTATCTCCCACTGCAGCCACAAAAAGGAACAGCTGGTTAGACTGGATATTGGGAAGAAGTTCTTCCCTCTGAGGGTGGTGAGGCCCTGGCACAGGTTGCCCAGAGATGCTGTGACTGCCCCATGCCTGGAAATGTTCAAGTCCAGGTGGGATGGGGCTTTGGAGCAACCTGGTCTAGTGGGAGGTGCCCCTCCCTTGGCAAGAGGGGTGGAACTAAATGAGCTTTAAGGTCCCATCCAATCCAAGCCATTCTGTGATCCCATGATTCCATGGCCAAGGATGCCATCATCACACATCCCCAAGGATGCTGGGGATGTGCCTCCCAGCACCATGGCTTGTGCACAAGAGCTTCCCTTAGCTTGGGAGAAGAAACTTCTCCCTGGCTGGAGCAGGAAGCAGGGGAGGATGGGAGTGCTGGCTCTCCCGGGGTCAGCCTGACCTCATTTCTCAGCAGCTATTTCCATGGGAACCAGCCACAACCATCCATACATTAGGGCATGCTGGCAGGGAAGGAGGGGAGCATGGGCAGGGGAGTGTGGGCAGTAGAGCAGCCTGCACAGCTCCCAACACCACCAGGCAGGAGCTGCTGGAGCACCCAGGTGTGCAGAGACCCAGAGGTGACACTGCACAAGCCACAGAGCCTCCAGCAAGAGCCTGGCTGGGGTCTGCATCAGTGCAGCCCCCCAGGATGGTGTTTGCCCCTGGGGTGTGGTTGGGGGGCTGCAACACAAGCCCCATGGCCAGCAGTGAGATGGCAAGCCTCAGGCCAGGACAACCCCATCTACTGGACGGGGACTTCTCAGGAGGGCTTCTGGCTCAGCCCCAGTCCTGTGCAGCCCCTAGCCCCACCATGCCAGGGGCTAGCAGGGTGGGCACCCACAGAGCTCAGGCACAAATAACAGCCCAGTTTCCCAAAACACCCTCCCCACTGGTCTGCCTGCTCCACCCATCACCATCAGCTGCTGTAGCATCCCTGGGCTTCATGTCCCCCCATGGCTCCATGGGGTGGCATGGGTGCCCCATCACCCCCTGCACTCCCTGGACCCCTATGCAGCATGCCCAAAGCATGCCAGTCCTGCTCCAGGCAGGGTCTGGCTGCTCCCACCTCTGCCATTAGAGAAGTGGCAAACCAGTGCTTTATGTGCTGTCCCTTATCTGATCAGCACATTTAATGCCACCCTTTATCTAGGCCTCTCTTCTAAGGGAGGCAGAGAGGGCTGCTCTCCCACAGACACCACCCCAAAGCCACACCTCTGCCCAGGCCACCACCCCTGCCCAGCTCACCCAGCCCTCCGAAAAGGAGTCTTCTGGCATCACTTCCTTGGATATCGCTTTCTACAACCCCCTCCCCCTGCCAGCTGCTCAGGGGGCTGCTCTAATCCCTAGACCATCTCCTGGGCATGGAGAGGGTGTGCCCCCCTCACTGTCAGCCTCATCCCACAATCAGGATGCAGACATGCTCATGGGATCCTCTGTGGGGTGGCTAGGTCTGAGCCACCAGTGGCCAAAACTGGCGGGCTCACAGCCCCGCTGCTGGCATTGGGAGGGTGGCATGAAGTCTAGAGCTGCTGAGAGAGAGCTCCCAGTGTTGAACACAGCTGTGCCATCCACCCGTGGGAGGTACAGACAACCCACACCCAGCAGGGTTGGGATGATCCTGTCACCTCCTAGCACAGAAATGCTTGGGGTGGCCCAGGGTTGGGGGGGATGGTGAGAACTCAGAGTTGATCATGGCCTGGAGGAAACCACAATATGGCTCTGCAAGCAGCTAGGAGGAAGCGCCAGGGACCACGGCAGCACAGCAGGAAGTGAGGGGAGATGGGTGGATGGTGTCACCCCAGAAATGCCCAGGTCACTTGCTCTGCTCCCAGGCTGTCTGCATACACAGGGGTGCTCCAGCTCTTCCTCAACCCTCATTCTCAGAGATCCCTCCCCTGTGGGCACTTCCACCTCCACAGGGGGTTATGGTGGGGTCTCATTCCCACCCAGAGACAGGGCCAGACCAATGCAGCTGCCTCACAGCAAAGAGCCCCAGTCCCGGCCTGGATGCAGTGAGCATCACCCTGATGTGGGCAAGTACCATCCAGACCTGGGCAAACACCACCCTGATGTGGGCAAGTGCCATCCAGACCTGGGCAAACATCACCCTGATGTGGGCAAGTGCCATCCAGACCTGGGCAAACATCACCCTGATGTGGGCATTGGCTCAGCGTGGGCAAGGATTATCCAGACACGAGCAACCATCAGCCCCAGCATGGGCAAGCATCCCCCACTGTTGCTGGTCCTTGGGCAGCCCAGCAGCATCCCCCCCAATCGCAGGTCTTTCATATTGACAGGACCCAGGTCAGATCCCCCCAGGGGGCAGGAGATGGGTTTGGGGCCAACAGCAGCACCCTTTGGCCAGTCACCCATCACCCCAGGCAGCCCCAGTGTGCATAGCTCCCCAAGCTCCCAGCAGATGCTGCCCCACACATGGAGCCAGGACCCAACACCCACCATAGGGTGACATATCCTCCCCCTCCTGAGTGCACCCCCCATCCGTGCCAGCTGCCCTGCACCACAGCACCTCCTCCACCCATCCTGGCATGGCCAGGCACCAGCACTGGCCAAAGAGCCATAGAACTATGCAATGGTTTGGTTGAGAAAAGACTTTAAAGCTTATCTCATGCCATGGGCAGGGACATCTACAACCCCATGTTATTCCAAGCCGCACCCTACCCAGCTTTGAACACTTCCAGGGATGGGGCAGACCCAACTTCTCTGGGCAGCCTGTGCCAGGGCCTCACCACCCTCAGAGAGAAGAATTTCTTAGGAAATGATAGCTCTTTATTTTCAAAACGTTCTCAAAACAAGAACCACCTGTACCAATATATTCCTGGTCATACAGTTAAAGTAACTTTTGAAATCAGAGTTTTGGGATTCAGCTGGTTAGTTCTGAACTCCCCAACATATCCACACAGTACACATATAACATACACATGGATGCACAGATCTTCTCCTGTATATATTCACTACAGCCTCAGGATCTATGTGAGAAGTATATAAACACACACACACACTCTCACACCCCATACATGTTCCCTTCTGTCACTACCAAGCACCAACACATATGTGTAACCCATGAGTGCATGATGGCACACCAGGTGCCAGGCCCTGTGGCCACCCACCTGTGCCACACTGGCACAGCCCCCGGGGCTCTGCCACGGTGACCCCAGAGTCCCCCAAGCCCCTGGAGCACTCTGTGTCCAGGGATGCTGTTCAGCCACCGCTGCCGGGCGAGGCCATATGCCCATCCCGTCCTGAGTCACAGGGTCCTGCATGCAGCCCCCAAGGGACCCTTATGCACCCCCAGATCCCGCGGGGCAGCTCCAGGCGGGAATCCCGGCCTTCGGGGTGCCGTGCCAGGCCGGGCAGCGGCGGTTCCGCGGCGGAACGCCCGATCCCGGGGCAGCAGCAGGAACCGGGACACCCGCACCGCCCGCGGGCACGCAGGCCGGGGCAGGAAACGCCGCTGGAGCCGGCGGAGCCACAGGCGCGCCCGGCAGCGCTCGATCCCATCCCAAACCCCCTCGGCCCGGCCCCGCCGGCTGCTCCCGTGCGGCACACACTGCCAGCCGTGCCCTCCTACCTGGGCAGGTGACGGGAACCACGGTGGGACCGCTCGGCACCGCGGGGAGGGCTGCGGGAGGCCGGCGGGGAGCGGAGCTTCTCGCCCCGGCACTTCCTCTGCACTGGCTAAAACAGCAAGACTTCCTGAGATGGCCGAAGCGGCGGCATGTCGAACACCGAACCCTCAAATCCTCAGGAAGAACCCGCGGCACGGCCGGCATCAAACAGCCAGCACGGAGGGCGCTGAACCCGCGGCACAGCTGGCACCCAGCCAGCACAGCTGGCACCAAACCAGCACAGCTGGCACCCAGCCAGCACAGTTGCCACAGCCTCCACCAAAGTGGCATCCATCGGTCTCATCGTGCTCGGGCAGCTTCCTGGCCAGGGCAGCATGGAGAGTGGCTCCAGGAGGATTTGGGTGACTATCTCACGGCAGAAATGCAGTGGTGGGAAGAGTTCCTGGGGTGCCAGGATGGACACTGTTGATCTGAAGTCCAAGGAGCCCCGGGGACAGGTGCTGCCCACCCCATGGCATGCCAGCCCCCCACATGAGCTGCCTGAGCCCCCTCCCGCGCTCAGCATCCCAGCAGGTAGGGGTCAGAGCAGGGGCAGAGGGATCACCTCCACCCACCTTACCACAAAAAGCCCATTGGGACGCAGGGATGGGAAGCTGGAGGGGAAACCCAGCCGCCCCCCTCCCATTCTCATCCTGACTACGCACATCCAGCACCATCAGTCCAGCTGGATGGTCCCATCCGGCACCATCAGTCAGAACAAACTCAGCCCTCGCTCCCAGGACCCACCTCAGGAGACCAGCTAGAATCCCCATCTCCAGGAGTATATCCCTTAGAGCCAGTGGGTGCTGGAGAAGTTGCAGGGAAGGACTCCTGGGGTGGGAGAGACCACACAAGCTTGGTGACATTCCCCCGCCTCATCCTGGGAGGATGCTGGCATCCAGGAGCTTGTCTGCCCCAGTCCTCACTCCATATCTGCCTGTGCTCTGCAGGATTTGGGAGCGTGCTGAGTGGGTTGGGACATGAAAGGGGGGGCTGCAAGTGCTGCTGTCCTGAAATTCCAGCCTGCTCCCATGTCATCTGGCCACAGCAGCTGGCAGCAGCTTTGCCCCATGTTCCCTGTGCCCGGCGGTTCATTGTCTGTGTGTTAAGAGTTCCTCAGGCTTCAGCACTGCCTACACTGCAGGTGGGGGAAGGCAGGGCTCTACATTGTTGCAGGGATTGCACCCCAGCCCATTCCAGGCGGGGGTGACCTGGGTGACTGGGATATCAGGGTGGATACATCCAGACAGAGCCAAAATTAATATTTCAGCACCTCCCACCCTGGTGCTGGTAGCCCAGGGAAATGTGCTGTGGCCTGGGGCAGGAGTACCCCCAGGGGACGTGCTGGGGCTGGGGGTACCCCCAGGAGATGTGCTAAGGTCTGGGGAGAGCATAGGTACCCCAGGCAACCCATGTCGTGACCCTGCCGGTCCCACCCACATCACAGTAGCCCCCCACACAGACCCAGTCGCCTTGGGGCATCCCCAAGCCCATGCCCCTGCCACCCCCCTTACCTCCTCTGGGACACAGCCCTGGGGGGCAGCACGGGGGGACGGTCAGGCAGTGGGGGGCTCTTCAGGCTCTGGCACTTGGTTTCCAGTTGGTGTCGCTTGGCCGGCAGTGGCGGCAATGGGGGTCTCGCCCCAGGGGCCGGTGGAGAGGGGTCCTCCAGGGCTGGGAGATGGCTGCAGGATGCAGGGGGTGGCTCGGGGCTGTCCCCCGATAGTGGTGCTGAGAATTTGAGGGGAGGGCGGCAGCCCACCCTCGGTGGGATGGGTGGGGGCAGCGGGGTGAAGCTTGCAGCCCTGTCTGGCTCCAGCAGTGGGGTCCCACCGGGCACTGGCGGGCCCCGGGGCTCCAGCTGCTCCGGCCCTGCTGCAGTGCCCAGGCGGAAGATGTGGCGTTTCATGGGGACAGGTTTGGTGGCAGGGGGCTGGTGGGTCCCAGCAGGCAGTGGGGCCTCAGCAAAGGCTTTCTGCAGCCCCAGGAGGATGCGGCGGCGGTGGCCGGGCAGCAGCACCCCAAGGCGGGTGAGCCCCTCGTCCGTCAGAGCCCGGCAGTCCCACACTGAGCACAGCCCGTTTTGCTGGAAGTTCTCCACATACTGGTCGAGGTGGAAGGCGGAAAGCCAGGCGGCCACCGGCAGAGATCCCTCCTCCTCCATGGCAGGGGGCTGGCCACAGAAACCTGCACCACTCAGTGCATCTTCTGTTGCCAGCAAGGCTCAGGATGACATCAGGACCTGGGAATGGAGACAACAGGATCAGGATCAGTCCCAAAACACACAACAGGTGAAGCCTGGAGTCCCAAAACCAACATTCTCAATGAAGCAACCTGGTTTTCCTATGGCTGTGTCCCCCAGATCATCCAGTCCTGAACTGGGGGGCTGCAGGATTGTGGAAATGCTGGAGGGTCCCAATTTAGGCATTGAAACATAGAGGCCATCCCTTTAGAGATAAAGTCTCCATGGGGCCCCAGCTTGGTCCCAGGGGGTGACATTTGGCCTGTAGGACAGAGAAGTAGGGGATTATCCACATTGGGTGGATAATCAGGGAATATGCCTGACTATGCACAATTCAAGGGCAGGGGAGCTGCTGGCTGCACCTCAGGGCTGTCACCCTCCAGGATGCAGCTCCTCTGGTTTACAGCAGCAAGCCAGGATAGAGTGACATGGACAGTTGGATCCAGAAGGCTGTCCCATCTCCCAGGCTGCCCCCAGCACAAACCGCACCAAACCCCTCCTCACAGACCGTATGCCCACCATGGCATTGCTTCCAGCTCCGGAGCCCTGTCTGTCCTTGGCATTGCTCTAGCATGGCACCACACCCTGGAGTGCTGGCAGAGCACCTGTGCAGCACCCTTGGTGCACACACCTAGCAGAGTGCCCTTGTGGCATCCAGAGCTTGGGACGTGGGGCTCACCTGGTGTCCCAGCTCCTGCTGCAGAACACCCATCCCACACCCTGCTGTTGGCAGGGCAAATCCCTGTTTTCCCAACAAGCAGCAGATGGGATACCCTGCCCTTCCCACCCACCAGCATCATGGCCTCGGCAGGCTCCAGGCAGGAAGCAGATCCTGTCATGCCGGCACACACATGCTCGTGACCCCGGCACCATGTTATTTTGTGTTTGCTGGAGGTTTTTCTAGACCTGCTAAGAAGGAGCCAGAGGATTTCCTGGAGCTGAAAATAGGCCAGTCTGCTCTGCCGTCAGAGTCACATTTGCTGTGACTCAGGCAGGTCCTCGGCAGCGCTTGCGGTTTCGGTGCAAAGTGCACAGCTGAGCAAGGCTCGCTCTCAGCCCGGCACTAACTGGACCCTGCCGAGCCTCAGGCACCATGGGGTCCCTCAGCCAGTGACCCCTACACCTCGAGACACCAGCATCTCAGTGGTGCTGCCGGGATGTGGCCACAGTGCCACTTCCCTGGCACTTCCAGGTACAGTTTGGCTTTGCTTCAGGCTCCATGGACCAAGTGTCCAAGGAAGGAGCAACAGGGACTCAGGGCTGGCTGACCCCTGTGGCTCCTTGCTGGCAGCACCAGAGAAATCAGCAGCACCTAGGACCCAGAACTGGTCCCAGCAATCCCAACCAGCACCACAAAAATCCCTGAATCAGAATAAAATTCTATCTTCCACCTCCACACGTAGAAAGTCCTCATCTATTACTGAAAATGGATAAGTGATTGGATAAGTGTGGTGACATTGCTGTCACCACATCCCAGTGACACCAGCACAGGAGGGCTCAACCCCAGCTGGGCACAGGCTCTGGAGGAGCAGAGGGAACACAGTGACACCAGTATGGGTTCCCACAAATGCCCCCTGTCCTGGCTAGAGCCAAGGAATCACCATCAATGTCACCCACTGACACCAGTGCCAACATCCCCTGCTGTGCCAGGACATTGATGCAGTGGTGGGACACGCCTATCAGGAAGGGACAGCTGCACCAGCACTCACCACTGGCGCTGTCCCAGCACTCTCTGGGATGGCTGAGGGCCCTCCTTGCTGCTCACCAGGGACGGGGATGGGGACACAACTCCAGCGAGGGAAGTGCAGGGTCCCCGGTGTGCCAGGCTGGCAGCTCCCCGTTGCTTCAGGCCCTTTGCCCTCTCCAAGTAAATAATTCATCAGGCCTTTGCTAGGTTCCCTCCTTCAGTCATTAATCATTTAACCCCTGTGCTAAACAAGATGAGGATATTCCAGAAGCAAAACCAAGACAGGGAGATGCCATAACCCAGCTGCCTGCTGGGGTTTGGGGGGTAACTCTGGCTGTGGCCCCTGGCAAGCACAAATCCTCCCAGTGCTGACCCACTGCATTCCTCCCCGGGATTAGGCAACACCACAGGGGCTGTTTTGTAAGAGACTTAAAGGCTGGACAAATGGTGTGAGGAGGGAACGGCAAGGGCTGCCAGCACCCTGGCACTGTGGCTGGTGCTCTGGGGGGATAAGTTAGGATGCCAAATAAATAAATGAGGAGCAGACCCCTCAGCCCCATCCCAAACCCACACAGCCCTCACTCTCCCAGTGCTGGGGATGAAGGATCTGGGGAGGCCTGGTGCTGGTTCCCTTTTTCTGGCCAAGGGGCTCGGCAAACCCCTCCATCCCCAAACTTGGGTGTTGGCTGCTTTTCTGGGGGCTTCTGCAGCTACCCCAGCCCACCTCAGAGGCCCTCAGCTCAAGAGAGCATTTGGGATGCACCTCTTCCCCCAGCAGAGCTGGGCATGCTGGCCCAGGGAGTAGCCCCCCGTGATGCAGGGGTGTGCCCACCCTTCTCCCACTGCATCCCATCACTCTCTCAGGGCCGTGGGCACTGATGAGGGCTGGGTGTGTTCAATTAAGGAGCTGTGTATGCCATGGAAGCTATGGGCTCTGGCTGGAAGTGACGGGTGAGCATGCTGCCTTCACTGGCTCCAGCTTCCCCTGGGTAATCAATGCTACCCCTAAGGACGTGCCAGTAATCGAGTAGTGTGACCAGGGCCATCAGTATGTCACTGACAGGGCTGCACTCAGCACCCAAGCACCAGGTAATAAAGTGGTGGCCATCCCACAGCTCTTCCCTGCCTGTCCTTTCCATGGCACCCAGAACAGTGGCCATGAGCCAGGAAAATCCAGCACAGGAGCCCTGCTGGGTGTCTGGCACCCACTTGATACATCCAGTTCCCACTGCAATTCCTCCTCCATTGTAGGCACACCCTGCCTGCACGCCACGTTCCCCTTCCCCAGGTCTGTGGGCTCATTAATCAAGGAAAGCTAATTACCAGCAGCACAGGGTCCCTCGGCTCAGCAGAAGGAGGCGGCCAGCCTGCCTGTGGTCCAGCCGGCGCGGTGGAGGTTTGCCAAGGGGTCTCTGCCCGCCCCAGGACTTCCTCAAACGCCGCCTCAGCAATGGGAACTTTCCGGAAAGCCGAGCGGAGCCGTGAGCTAGGATGTGGTGCAACAGCCACCGCAGGCCCAGCAGAGCCGTGAGGCCTCAGTGCGGTGATGTGCTGACCACAGCTGCCATGAGGGACAAGAAGGCCGGGTCCTGGGGCGGTGTGAGCCCTGGGTGACAGAAGGACGGGGCAGGGCTCTCAGGAGAGGAAGGAAGAGCCAGGCAGGGTGATCTCTGGGAAGTGAGAGCTCAGCACGACTGCGGCAGGAACCAGGTACCAAGGACAGGGCGTTGTGGGGCAGCAGGACAAGCCAAACTCTGGCTGCTGGACAAGCAGGCACATGGCTGCCATGTCCCAACACCCGGGACTCCTGTGGATTCCCAGAGAGGGCAGCAAGCTGTTACCCACCAGCATTCCTGTGGGCACAGGGGACAGAGCCAAGTGGCAGAAGGACCTGTGGGAACAGGGCTGGCCACAGTGGGAAGGGGCTTCTTCAGCCACCAAGCTCCAGCAGCACTGGGCAACCAGACTCACAACACAGCGATTTTTACCCTTTCCTGCCTGAATTAAGAAGAGACCCTCAGACAAAGGGCCACGGCCAGCCAGAATGAGGCCAATGTCACCAGTGTCCCTGCTGGATCCGGGGGGTGAATGTGATGTCCCCAGCAGACCTCCCAGGGCTACCACAGATTCCCCACCCAGCTGGGAATCAAAAGCACCACATCCTCACCCCGAAAGTGCCCAAGCAGAATGCTCAGCAGGCAGGGATTATCCCAGAGCAAACGAAGGGTCCCAGGACAGCACTCCACAGACCCCTTCCCACCCAAACCCTCCACACTCCACCTCAGTGGGTGCCCATCTGCTCAGCAGCACCCAAAATATTTTCTGGGAGGGTGAGGCTTTTTCATTTTCAAGATCTTCTCAGCCAAAGAAATTGCAAATGATATTCAACCCCCCCCCGCAGGCGCTGTGCAGGGATCAAGTTCAGGCTTGTGGAATCACAATCCAGGGGTGGTATTGCTTCTCTGGAGCCTCCTCCCTCTGCCATGAGTTGCCATTTCCAGATGGTTCATGTGAAGAAGCCAGAGGGTGCCCAGCCCCCTGTTTGGGGGCCTGAGGGCTCACACACACACACCAGGGTGTGCCCCGACAGGAGAACTGCCCCAGGTTCCTCTACATGCAGATGGAGGGTGTGTTACATAGAGGTGGAAGGTGGGCAGTGATGAGGTGGGTGAGAAGTTAGGGACAAGGGGGCAAGAAAACTGAGGGTTCCTCGTTTCCCTGAGGTCCCACCTGCATTCCCCTTCCCCCATGGAAGTAAAACCTGGGAAGGTGAAACAGGTCCCAGACTGTGGCGCCAACAAACAGATGAGTTTGCATCAGCAAACAGCATTCCCTTCCAAAGCGTTGCTGCCTGCCTCACAAATCTAGCCAGAAAAGGGGCTAATACAGCCAGAAATTAGCAAATACAGTCAAAAAAGTGGTAATTCCAACCAGAAATGGAGAAATCCAGACAGAAAAGAGGTAAACACATCTGGCAATGCTGTCACTACCCACTGAGTTCCACTGGAATGCTCTCAGCTCCTGACACACTTTATGGAAGCTGCCAGCAAACTAGGTCAGGAAGCCAAATCCCACGATCCAACCAGAAATGGGGAAATCCAGCCAGAAAACGCAAACAACTGTGAAAAGTTGTGAGGGCCTTCATGAAAAGGGGTAAACACATCTGGCAATGCTGTCGCTACCCACTGAGTTCCACTGGAATGCTCTCAGCTCCTGACACACTTTATGGAAGCTGCCAGCAAACTAGGTCAGGAAGCCAAATCCCACGTGCACAGCCACCCCAGAGGAGCCCCAGTGTCTGGTGATGCTGGGGGAGCTGTGCCAACAGCCTGGCTGCAGAGGATGGGTGCCTGATGGGTCCCCCTGGGAAGCACGGCACCTCCTTCCTCCGTGAGAAATCAGCCCCATCAGCCGATGTCAGCACTAAAACCGTGCAGGTCCCTGTTTCACTTTCCCATAAGTGGGAAGTGAAAGTGCCATCGGGAAGGGGTGACCCCTCCCACTGTGGGTGGGGTGTACCCTTTTCCAGCCCTGATGCCCTCCAGCCTCCTCTTCATGCTCATTGGGGTGCAACTCTAGCCCATGCTGTCCCCAACAGCAGGGTCACACCATACCAGGGCCATCCCCTGGATCCCCCTGGCCACCACAGCACTGCAGACAAGCCAAGCCAGGGGATGCTGCAGCAGGGACAGAAGTACAGGGACCACCAACCACATTCACCCACTCCCAGTTTGTAAATGACTTTCTACACAGCCAGGCTCTCCCCCATCTGTAGATTCAGGGGACCCATCTGCAAAGCGTCCCCAAGCATCAAACCCCCCACAGCCACAGAGTCCTGCCACAGGAGCTGCATCACTCCCTGCTTCCCACAAGACACCCCTAAAATCTCAAGGGCTCACTTTGTTCTGAGGCTAAGTTCTGGCAGCAAATGCATCCTCAATATTGCTCTAAATACCCCTATCCCTGATGTCCTGGCTGTGGCCCATAATAACGCATCCCCAGTAGCTGCTGGAGCACCCCCAGAAAACCACCATAAGCTCTTGGGGGAGCTTTCCTTGCTACCTTTCTCCCAGCACCCCAGAATAGCCACCCACCCCTAGCACTCCCAAAATTGGTTTTTGGGGCTGAGCCCACAGATTAGAATTGCTGTCCCTGCAATGGTGCTAGACCTAGGAACCCCCCGTGCAGGTGCAGCCCGTGGGCACCCCAAACACCAACCCGAGGGTCCCAGCAGTGTGAAGGTGTCCCATGGAACCAGCTTGCCATTACTGGAGGACAAAGCAACCACCATCCCAGTTCCAGCTGCACAGCACTGGCAAAGCTCCAGGCCTCACCAGACAGACGGGGAAGCAGTGAGGAAGAGGAGGAGGAAAGCAAGGGAAGCCCACGACCAGCATCACCTGGCATCTGGCTGCTATTGGTGGTGGTTGGTGTGGCACAGGCATTGCTGGCAGGGGCCCTGGCACAGCCGCAGCTGACGCTGTTTTTTGGCTATGAACAGGGACAGGCCAGATCCCCAGCAGAAAACAAATCTGCCAGCTGGGCCCTCAGGGTCCCCTTTTCCCAGCTTCACCCCCGGCATCGGCAGCACAACCACCCAGGATCCCCAAACGTGTCACTCACCCCAACCGGGCAGTAGGACCCCTGCAGTGGCACAGGAACGAGAGCTACCAGCAATGCCAGGGCTCCCTGGAGACTGGGACCGAGCTGGGTTATACTGGGGCTGAGCTGGGGTCTGCTCAGGGGAGCTGGGATATACTGGGGTTAAGCTGAGGTGTGCTGGTATTGAGCTGGAAAGTGTTGGGGTGAATTGGAATACACTAGGGAGGAGCTGGGATGTGCTGGGGGGAGCTGGGGAATACTGGGATTAAACTGGGATGAACTGGAATTGAGCTGGGATGTGCTGAGGTGAGCTGGGGTATATTGGGATTTAGTGGGGGTGCACTGGGAATGAGTTGGGGTCTGCCTGGGGCAGCTGGGGGACACCTGGGGAGTAGCAGGGCTCAGCTGGAGCGCACTGGGGTTGAGCTGGGATTGAACTCGGCTGTGCTGGGGGCGAGCTGGAGTCTGCCGGGGGGAGAACTGGGGTCTCCTGGGGGGAAGCTGGAGCATACTGGAATTGAAGCAGGGTGGAGCTGGGATGTACTGGGATTGCGCTGGGGGGGGAACTGGAGCGTATTGCATTCGAGCTGAGAGCGAGCTGGGGCACACTGGAATTTGGCTGGGGAGTACCGGGGCTGAGCTGGGGTACACTGGGCTAGAGTACCCCAGTCGGGGGGCTGGGGGGGCACACCACTGTCACACCTGAGCCGGGGAACAATCCATACTCCCCCCACCGCCCCAGCAGCTCCCAGTATCCCCAGTACCCCCGCCCAGGGACCCACAGAAACACGTGGAAAGAAAGAGGACCTGCCGGGGGGAGAAGCCGCGCTGAGAAGGCGCAGTGCCCCCCGCCGCCCCCCGCCCAAGCCGGGGCTGCCCCTGCAGCCCCCCCGGAGCACCCTGTACCTCTGTCCGCTGCCAGCGGCGGCTCCCAGAGGATGCCGGGGCGCTTCCCGGGGCGGGGGCACTCCGGGCCCCCCTTGCCAGGCCCGGGCTTGTTCCCGCACGGAGCTTTGGCTGCCTCATGGAAACAGGATTCAAGGGGAAGACTGCCAGGACTTTCCCCCAAAAAAAAAAATAATAAGTGGGTTGTGTGGGGGGTTCTTGCCGCCCCACACAATTCCCAAGGTCTTAGTGGGGGGTAAGAAGGAGAGTGGGAGGGCTTGGGGACGCAGAGGGGATGTGGGGTGTCCATAGCCAGCCCTCACGGCTGCCCAGCCTGGGACAATGGTCCTTTCATCCCGGCGCTCGGGGAGCGGGACACGCTGGCTGCCGGCTCCGGGGGTGGGAATGCCCCCCCTGCTCGGCCCCTCGCCCACGCCAGGCCACGGGCAGGAGGGGCCAGCTCTGCCCCACACTCCGGGCATGGTGCTCAGCCAGGGGGACAGTGTGAAATACCCCAAACATCCCCCCGCTCCCTACCCCACTCCCCGGAGCCATCACATCCCCCACGTTATCCCATCCTGCTCCCCAGAACCAACCACATGCCCCTGCTCTCCCATCCCGCACCTTCGGCTCCATCTGGGGGGATACCCCCCGAGCCTTTGGCAGAGGATAAGGGTGCCATGGCCTCACCCAGTTCGGGGGTGTCATACAGCAAAGTGCTGAGTCCCCAGGGGCTAGCAGCAATGCCCCAGCCCGATCCCTGAAGGGCTGAAGCCCTGTAGTCCTTCCCAGCAGCATTTCAGGAACGACCCATGCCAGTAGCTGAGGATGTCCCCAGCACAGCCCTGAGATCACTGCCCCCCCCATATATCCTACCTGCACCCCAGCTCTTCTCAAACCCCCCGGCACCAGGCACGTGCCAGAGCATATTCCATTTCCCTCTGGAGCCATCTTCTCTCTCTGGCACTGCAGCTCTGGGTCTCCAGCTGTACTCCCAGAG